TCTATCTTGGTCAGCCCATGGTGAGAATACACACTAGTTTTAAAGGCACAGACTTCAAGAGTTCCAGACTCCATGAATGTTATTTCTCATTGTAAATTAATTGACTGGCTTATCCATTGGGATATGGTCTCAGTTCATGAGGGTCTGCCTTTGGGCTTGGCCAGGGTCAGAGTTTTGAACCATCAGGGTTTTATTCACTGTGGGGGCAGTGAATAAAATGTCAGCTTGTAAAACTTCTTGGTCAGCAGTTGATCACCCTTTCCCCTGAGGTACTTGCTCTCATCAGTGGCTGTGAGCACAAGCCTTGTTAGTATTTCTTATATTTTTCTTTCTATTGCCAAGGAGGAAGACCTAGTGGTTGTGTGGCCTTTGGTTGGTCTAGTGTTCTAGTGTGCCCCTGATGATCCAGGAAATCCTCTGCTTATCAGAATTTGTATATCATTAGCATAAGAGTGAAAATGTCTTTTGAATACTTTGGGCTTTTCTTTTTAGATTGGCATTTTAGGTACCCAGAAATGAATGTGAAAAACTGATGGCAGTGTTTACCTTTAGGCAGTGGTTGCAGGAATCCAGCAGGCTCATGCGGAGCAGTTGGCCAACATGAGAATCCAGGATCTGAAAGTCAGCCTCAAACCCCTCCACTCAGTGAACAACCCTATTCTGAGGAAGAGGAAGTTACTTGGGTAACTGAGCTTGTTTCTTTGATTCTCATGGCTGGCATGGTTGAGTGCTGGGTGGTAAAAGCTCAGCCAGGGTCTACCTTTTTTTCTTTTTTCCTCTTAAGAGCATGGAAAGGATAAGATCTTTAAATAGCATCAGAAACTGTTCATATTCTATAGTTATTTATCTGAAAACTCTGTTACCTTGTGTTTAGAGTTAATATCTGTCTAGAGTTGAGTTTTGAGGTTCTTACTTTGTTGTTACTTCTCCCCTAAACTTTTAAAGCACCAAGCCAAAGGATGGTGTTTACATCCATGACCATGAGAATGGAGCTGAGGATTCAAATGTTGCCTTGGAAAAGCTTCGGGATGTGATTGCTCAGTGTATTCTCCCCCAGGCTGGTAAAGGTCACACCATTTATTAATGCTCTGTGTGTGTGTGGGCATGCACGTGTATATGCATATAACAAAAGGAGTGGTTTGATTTGGACTTGTCTGTTTTCTTTGTTTTATAAGAAAATAAATACATTATATAAATTAGTCTATGTCCACTAAAAAGAGTGAACAGTGGGAATTCAGAAATGTGGTAAGTTGTGTTTTTATGGTTTCCTGTGGGCTTGTGTCATCTTAATTGTGTTATCTTAACAATGAGGGCACAGAATGGAGGATGAAGAATGAAAATATAAACAGTCGAGATTAGGCTGCACGCTGTGAACATCATGTTCAGTCTTCAGAATGCAATACCACATTTAGCTTGTGAATATAAAGAGAACAATATCCTAGTTCAGAATTAGTGTTTTTTATTGTGTGAGGCACAGGCACAGGCAGTGTGACTGGTACATGGTTCCTTGGGAGCGAGAGCTTTCTTTCCATGTGTGTTCTCTCTCTCCACTCAAAGGGATGTGATGTGAGGAGCTATTCTCAACTGATGAATATTATGCTTCACACATTAAGCCAGAAAATGTCTTACCAGATTCCTTGGTTTTAAGAGAACTCATGTAATATGTCTCAGCCTTTTAAAGCAAAGAATGATTGAGGAGAAAGAAGGTCTACTTAGCCTTAGCCTCCCTTTCTTGATCTTAGGATGGCCAGGTATTTTTGCTCAGTGATAGGGTCTGCTAAATCCTATTGCTCATCACCCAGCACTAAAGGCTCTGAGTCTACTAGAGCATTTATGAGAGTATGGCAGAGTAGAAGAGTTCAGTGACCAGAAGTGGTTGATATATAATGTAGGTACTAGCAGTAAGCCAGTGTCTGGCGAAGGTTTGCACATTTAGTCATCATTTTTCAACTAGTTGGACATCATGTCCTTCCATCTCTGACACTAGAATCCCATGATGCTGCAGGAAAAATGCAACTTCCTCTTCATCCTTACCAATAGGAGAGAATGAAGATGAGAAGCTGAATGAAGTAATGCTGGAGGCCTGGAAGTATAACCGGGAATGCAAACTCCTAAGGGATACCCTGCAAAGCTTCAGCTGGAATGGTAGGGCCCTTAATCATTCCTTTCCTCCAGAAAGCAGACAAGTGATGATCTTTAGAATATGTAACATTTCTTTGGGTCCCTAACTGGGGGTGTTTTCAGATAAAGTGAGGTTGGAGAATGAGTGGGATATTGACGGGGGGTTAGCCCTACACTAACTTCCCAGGCATGTGTGGATATGTGGTCCTTTCACTTACTTTCTAGAATTCAAATGAATTATGCACTGCAGATTCAACACTGGAGAGTCCATATGACACACCACTTGAGCAAACGAATCCCAAATCACAGAATTCTTTCCACATACCTGGGCTGTGTTCACCAGGTTATTAAGGAACAGCACACAGTGAAGGGGAGAAAGAAGACAAAGTACCAGGAAGTTCAACCTGCTGATCTGCTAATTAGAAAGGAGCCATTTCACTAAAGAGTAGGAAGTTTGCCAGATCAGCGGCTGGTTGAATTTCTTCCCTAGGCAAACAAAGTAGAGAGATACATTTCCTTTTTTTTTCTTTAAATTAGCATTTTTTGAACTGGTTTTTATACAGTAAGTCCCCAACTTATGACCATTCAAGTTGTGAACTTTCACAGATATGAACGGACCTTGTATTACAAACATTTGTAGAGGTGAACAAGTCATAGAATTAGCTCACATGTCTGCTGGACATTGTCACAGTTGTGCTACTGTATGCTTACTGTACAGTGCGATCGTTTACAGTAGTACAGCGCTCAATCAGAGTCCAAGATGTCTAGAAGCAAGAGGAAAAGCAGTGGTGATGTGGAGGAGACAACTAGGAAGCACAAAGCAATACACATTGTGTATTTGTGTCAAAGGTGTATAAGACTTGCTCTGTCAGACTTACAAACGTTCTCCTAGAACAGAATTCATTCATAAGTTGGCGACTTACTGTATTGTCATTCCAATTTAGTACATTACATTAGAAGAGCTCCAGGATGTTTAGGGAAGGGAGCAAACTCTGACTTCATTACTGAATTTGTTTCTTGTATGTGCTGTTGGGAAGGGGGATGGGGCACGAGCCTGCCCATTACCTTGCTTGGAAGAGATTAACTTCCCTGGGAATTCTTTTTTTTAAAAATTTGAAATATATCAGCAATCTAAAAAAGTGATCACATAAAGTGTGCATTTTCATTGAATTTTCACAAAGTGAACACTCCCCTGTAACCAGTACCTAGGTTATACAGTAAAACATATGCTCTCTCTACTCAAGGGTAGTCACAATCCTGATTTCTAGCACTATACGTTAGTTTTGCATTTTATGTAACTAGAATCAGACAAGTCTTGTATCTGGCTGCTTTTAGTCAGTATTCTGTTGAGTTCCATCCATACTGTTGTGTGTAACAGATGATTCTCATTATATGTATATATTTATCCATTGTACTGTCGAATGGATATTTGGGTTTTTAGGTTTTATTAATCAGGAAAAGGTATAAACATCTTGTCTATGTTTTTTGATCAACATTCTGAGAACTCATTTCTCTTACATATCTAGATCAGAATTGCTAGTCCATGAAGGTTATTCATCTGTTTGGCCTTAACAGGCAATGCCACCAGTTTTTTTGGTACTGGGGATTGAACTCAGGTCCTTGCGCTTGCGCAGCAGGCGACGAAACCACTGAGCTAAATCCCCAGCCCTGCCACCAGTTTTTTAAAGTGGTCGTATGAGTTAACGAACTCCCACCAGCAGTGTTTGAGGTCTCTAATTATCGCATACCCACATCAACTCCTGCTGTTGCCTAACTATTCTTGTTAGTATGTAGTGCTGATGTTCATTGACCATTTAGATTTCCTCTTTTGTGAGTGCTTATTCAAGTCTTTTACCCATTGAGTGTAGCTTTCTTATACATGTGTTCTTTATATATGTTGGATATGTGTGCCTCATCAGACATACATATTACAAAGACCCCTCTCTCTCTCTCTCTCTCTCTGATTTGATTTTTTGTTATTGTAGTGAATTTTGAGCTTTTACTACCAGGTTAATGGAATGGGTCAATCTCTAAATTGCTATTGGTCAATATACAGAGGTTTTCCTACATTGGTAAGAGTGAGTTTGAGACTGGACAGTGTACCTTACTAGGTACCTGTCCGAAGCCCATCACCTCTTAAAGTTTGAGAACTGACCTTGTTTTTTTCTTGAGTTTCAGGGCATGGATTCACAGATAAAGTAGATCGACTAAAACTGGCAGAAATTGTGAAGCAGGTGATAGAAGAGCAAACCACTTCCCATGAATCCCAATAATGACAACTTCAAACTTTGTTTTTTTAACAACTTGAAAAAATATTGCTTAATGTATAAAGTAATTTTTATGTAAATTAATAAATCATAATTTAATTTCAACATTGTTTAAAGTTGCTATATAGATTTAGGGACAGGATTTACTAATAGAATAATTATTGTTTTTAAGAAAAGCTCAATTCTTAGAAACATACTATTGCTTTAGGACTGTTTAATCTTATATTTGTAAGATGACAGATGGTATTGTCAAACAGTATTCATTTATTTGTAATAAAGTATTCAAAAACTTGCCAGAGGTAGATACAGGATCAACTATACTGACCTTTCTGCTTAGTGAAAAGTCAAATATTGTGGAATCTGGTTTCAATTGCTCTGTGTATTTACTTTCTACTTTATTGGTAGATTAGCTCTAGTGCCAAGAAATTTTTGTGTACCCCTCATTGGAGACTATCTGCTGGAATTCACAGGATCACAGGATGCACACTTGGGGACCTGAGGAGCCAGTTCTGATAATAAAAGAGGCAGGGAGCTCTGCTGTCATTTCTCTTGCACCTAATTCCCCAGAGAAAAGTGAAAACATTTCCTTTTTATCTTATCTGCTAAAAGGGTATTGATGTATTTCTTAAATCTAATGGGTTTTGCTTTTGGGTTTATTCTTTACAGGTTTAATGAGAGCTTCCCTTTCCACTTCCCTGAGGTCTCTCACTTGTTGCCTCCCTTTCCCTTCATCCCTTACCTGCTCTATCACATATTTTCCTTTGTCCCCTGCTTCACTTTTTGGAATGCTTTCCCTGAGAAAGTCATATATAACAGAAACTACTATTGGATTAGCATCTAAAGTTATCTAGTTTTTTTAGCTAATCTTTTTCTCTCTAATGTTTCTTCCTGAATTTCTTACTGGTATCTCCTGGGCTGTATTTATTTTCTACATTCTGGCCCAGAATATAGCTTTTTGACTGAAAAATTCTAGTTTTCTGTTGTACACATGGACACAACTTTTTTAAAATTTTTAAGCAGTATTTGGTGTGTACCGATGTTGGTAAATAGAATAGCTAATAGGATTGGGGATTTAGCTCAGTGGTTCCGCTGTCTGCCTCACAAGCGCAAGGTCCCAAGTTTGATCCCTGGTACCAAAGAAGAGCTAATAGGCAAACTCCAGTTCATGGTACAGGGTAACAGGATGAGTAGTCTGAGTCATTCAGTTTTATCCCATCTCTTTAATCAAAGTTGATCACACATAGAACTCACTTCTTTTCTAACCCCTCCATTTTGGTTAGTACATCCCCTATGTGTGAGAGTGAGACTGACTGTGGGAATGTACGATAAGAACACATGGTTGGGCCAGGTATTTAGCTCAGTGATTCTGCTGCCTGCCTTGCAAGTGCAAGGTCCCAAGTTCGATCCCCAGAACCAAAAAAAGAACACATGGTGATGGGCTGGGGATGTAGCTCAGTGGCACTGCAGCTCCCTTGTAAGCTCAAGGTCCTGAGTTCGATCTCTGGTAAGGGGGGTGGTGGAGAAAGAACACATGGTGTCACTGGGTGTGGTGGTGGATTCTTGTAATCCCAACACTTGGGAGGCTGAGGCAGGAGGCCTGCCATGAGTTTGAGGCCAGCCTGGGCTACATAGTGAGTTCAAGGCCAGAATAAACTCCATAGCAAGACCCTGTCTCAAAACAACATTATTATACTGATTCCCTTTTACCTTGCAGAATATACAATTCAAGGTATTTTTTTAAGGGAGGTTCACTAATCTTAGGTGACTGATAGATGTTATAAGTGTAAACACTGCAAGAAGAGCGGATAACAAAATCTGAAGCAGTAAAAAAATTTTTACATTTACCAACCAGAAAACTTAGCTGAGTTGAATGAAGGTTTTTCGTAAAAGGCAATCTTGCAGATCATTTTTTGCAATCAGGGAAAACTACTTGTTTCTTAACATACGAACATCTGTAATGTTCTGTCTTAGGAAGGAGGTTCAGGATTACATGGGGAGAGGAAGGCAATAAATACCATTGTTACTCTTCCTTAAAGACCTGTATAGCATACCCAATGTACAATTAACTTGCCAAATTTATCATTAGGTATATTCTAAAGGCTTGGATGATTGTCTTTTCTTTGGTGTGGTGAATTTTAGGCATGATGTCAGAGTATCCAAAATGATGCTTCCCTTTTTGAGCATCAGTTGCCCATGTTTCAGTTACTTCAGGCTAAATTCATCTGGCCTTCAAAATGAAAGCTATATCCAGACTTCTAGGAGCATGCTTAAAGTCTGTAAAAACACTGGAGGATGCCTCAGCTGTTGTAACTCAAAAATGGGTCCTATCTTGTATAGTTCCTTGAAAACAGTAGCTCCTAAGAGGCCCCGCACTGTTGTCTTCAAAGAGTTTTGTTTGTATATTTCTAGGCTAACAGTAAATTCTACATTAACATATGAGTCAGGCTTGCCAACAATTCAAAAGCCACATGTAACTCGAAATGAAATTATATCTAGTGGTCTATAGCCTGTCTCTCTAACACCCATACTTGTGGAAACACTGTAAGATTAGTTCTTACAATAGTAGGTTTCAACCTTGATTTCTACACTTCATCTTAGCCAAAAGGCCAAGAAGCGATCAACCTTGATTCCTAAAGATTTGCTAGCCTGCTTATTAAAAGTGTTACTAGCCACTCAAATACCTTTAGAGTTTTCCACAGTTACAAGTCTGCTTAATGTAAAACAACATGTGTCTTTCGCTGTTACATTTTATGACCATTGAGAATGCCTGACAAATTTATTTCTTGAAACACACATAGGAATTGCTTTTTTAAAAAGTTTATGTTGCTATTTTATTTTATTTTGTTTTTTTGAGACAGGGTCTTGCTATGTAGTTCAGGTTAGCCTTAAACTATGTAGCCCAGGCTGGCCTCAAACTTGCAGTGATCCTCCTGTCAGCCTGCCGAGTGCTGGGATTACAGGCATGCACCACCATGCCCAGCCTTGTTGCTTATATTTTATATAAGAAAGAACAAGTAGAAGTTGACTAGTAGGTACTGTTGATCAAAGAAATCAAAAGATTTAGGTCAGATGTTATGTGTCAGTGCACATGTGTATTTATCAAAATGTGTTTGAATTTGAGAATTGGAAAATTGGATATTTCATTTTAATTATGTTTTGTTTTTGTTTTTTTTTTTGGTACTGGGGATCAAACTCGGGACCTTGTGCTTGCGAGGCAGGCGCCAGAAGCACTGAGCTAAATCCCCGGCCCTTAATTATGTATTATTTAATTTAAAAAGTAGAGTGTTCTCCCATTCTTAATTTTTTTGTTCCATTAAATGACTTAATCTAATTTTTTCCCTACTTGTTTTGGTTAGGCACAGGGAAACACCTTAAAATCTTTGATGTTTTCCAAAATATATAATTTAAAGATGTTTGCTCTTACATAAGCCACATTGCTATACATTTTTAAATGGGTTTATGATGACAATATGAATTTGTTTGCTAGATGTTAATGAAATATTTCAGTATTTGGACCAGGAATTAAATACTATTAGTTGAAGACAGATAATGATGTATCTGAGATCTTATGGTACCATATGATTTTTTTCTGAATTAGGGCATTTCTCTATTTTCAGGTATTATCATAGTCTACCCTGTATTTTTAAAGTTTTATGCTGTAAATAATATAAAATTATTTTTATATAAGATAAAAGATGTAGACTCTTATTTTAGTTAATCTTAGAATGCACAGGAGAATGAATAAATGGGAAGGGAATTGGTAGACAGGGCTTTTTTCTTTACAATTTATAATGCTGGGTCGGGGATTTAGCTCAGTGGTTCCACTGCCTGCCCTGCAAGTGCAAGGACCTGAGTTTGATCCCCGGTACCAAAAAAAAAATGTATAATGCTAAGCACAACCAAGGAAATTAACATCAAAAACCAAATCCAAGGACTTCCAGACAATATGGTTCAATTTTAGTTATAAAAATGAAATTTTTAGAGTTTTTGTGTAGCCCCCCCCCCTTTTTTGTACCAGGGATCGAACTCCAGACCTTGTGCTTGTGAGGCTGGCGGTGGAACCAACGAGTTAAATACCCAGTCCCTGTAGCACATTTTTATTTTCTTGATGAAATAGTAACTAGGAAACTGATTAATCAGTTTGTTTTCATCCCACATTTTATTACATTGAAAGAGTTGAGAACTGAATTTTGATTCCTTATATATTTCCACACTGAACATAATTTCATTTAACACTTATGTCTGTGCCTTAAGAAAAGGATTTTTAGAGAAGAATTTTATTTATAGGCAGATATAAGATGTCTACACTCATGAGCAAAGGATAATGGGGACATCCAAAGGCTATCTACATAGAGTATTTCTTAAAGGGAAAAAAGTCAGGGACAAAGTAGGGTTGAACCAAGGACAGTACCCTGAATACTGTACAAAGGGGAAAAATAAAAGCAGTGGCCAACAGAGAACTCTGCTTTCCTCAGAGATCCCTAGAGAATTCTTATTCTACTCCCCTGGCCTCCCTTCAGAATGTTGGGTTTCGAAGAATGACCAGATTAAGAAATATCAGGAGTTCTGTGGCCTGGGGAGAATAAATGATAATTTATGTGCATTAAACTACTGGCTGAATCACTACAGGTCTTCTCTTTCGTTCATTTCTCCATGATCATCGAAGTAATTTACCAAGGAACACTAAAATTGTTGCTGTTGAAATTGCTGTATTACCAAAGGTAAGGAAGGAGATAGGCAAGAATAGAAACAGCCTGAAGGGCCTAAGACTCATGGTTGGAAAGGAACCACCCCTGAGGAAACCAGCACAGATCTGGAGATAACATACCTGAGTCTGAACTTGTCAGAGAGCAGCTGCTGACAGGCATAGACCTGCATCATCAACTGATTTATTTGGACCACATCGGTGGCAGCATCGCTGAGAGACTCTACCATCATCCTACCTTGTTTATACAAAAAGCAAGTAGCCTTGGAGGAAGTTAAGATGAAGTTAAGATAAAGTTTGAGATTTGGGACCCCAAAATGTGGAACTGGAGGATAAGATCAGTACTAAGACGTTCATATTTTGTCCTAGGGTTTTTCAGGCTATTGGTAATATTTCTGCCCAGCATGTACTGCATAGGACCAGTACAATACTCTTCCTATGAAATAGTGATCCCCAAGAGTCTGACAGTCAAGGGAAGCGAAGAGCCAGTGGAAAAGACATCTTATATGCTGCTTATGCAAGGCCAGGAGCAGCTGGTTCACCTGAAGGTGAGGAGAGACTATTTTGTGAATGACTTTCCAGTCTACAGTTACCACAGTGGCATCCTGGGGCAAGAAATTCCTTCCATCTCACATGACTGTCACTGTGAAGGCTACATAGAAGGAGTGGCGGGTTCTTTCGTTTCTGTCAACACCTGTTCAGGTCTCAGGGGCATCCTGATTAAGGAGAAAACATCCTATGGCATTGAGCCCACACTCTCTTCCAAACGGTTTGAACACGCGTTATACACCATGGCACAGCAAGCTCCGGTCCCCTGTAGTGTCTCTCCCAGAGACAGCCAAGCGGTGTCCGCCAGCCAGCAGCAAGAGGGCAGGAAGCCTCACGATCTACAGGCACTGTCCTACTTGTGGTCACACACCAAGTACGTGGAGATGTTTGTTGTGGTCAACAGCCAGCGGTTCCAGATGTGGCGCAGTGACGTCAATGAGACAGTGCAGAGAGTAGTGGATGTCATTGCTCTGGCCAACATCTTTACTCGAGGAATAAACACAGAGGTGGTGCTGGCTGGGATGGAGATTTGGACGGAGGGGGACCTGATAGAGGTCCCGGGGGACCTGATAGAGGTCCCGGGGGACCTGCAAGTTACACTCAGGAATTTCAATAGCTGGAGACAAGAGGAGCTCTTCCCTCGTGAGAGGCATGATGTTGCCCACATGATCGTTGGGCATCATCCTGGAGAGACCTCGGGCCAGGCATTTCTCAATGGAGCCTGTTCAAGTGGTTTTGCGGCGGCTGTCGAAGCTTTCCAACATGAAGATGCCCTCCTGTCTGCAGCACTCATGGTCCACCAGCTTGGGCACAACCTAGGTATTCAGCACGACCACTCAGCCTGCGTTTGTAAAGATAAGCACTTTTGCCTCATGCATGAAAATATCACTAAAGAAAGTGGCTTCAGTAACTGCAGCTCTGACTACTTCTACCATTTCCTTCATGAACACAAAGGGGCCTGCCTATTTAACAAGCCACGGCACAAAGGCCGCAGGCGCAGGGATGCCAGTTGTGGAAATGGTGAGGTGGAGGACCCGGAGGAGTGTGACTGTGGTTCTGCTTGTCACAGTGACCCATGCTGTGAACCAACATGCAAACTGAAGGAGCATGCACGGTGTAGTCATGGACCTGTTGTGATAAGTGTAATTTCATAAAGGAGGGGGTTGTATGTAGTTTTGCTCACCATGAGTGTGACCTCTCAGAATACTGTGATGGTATTTCTGCAGAATGTCCCGCACACAGTTACAAACAAGATGGCACACTGTGTGACAGAATTTACTATTGCTTTGAGGGTCAGTGTAGGTACCCTGACAGGCAGTGTCTAAATCTATATGGGTATCCTGCAAGATCTGCCCCAGAAGCCTGTTACATGTCAATGAACAGCAAAGGGAGCTGGTTTGGAAACTGTGGCCGAGCCACTACGGCTAATGCAGCATATATTAAGTGTAGCAGTGATGATATATTTTGTGGAAAAGTTTTATGTACAGATGTTCCAGCCCTGCCACTAATGATGTCGCATTATACGGTGATCCAGGTTGCTCATGGAGACGACTGGTACTGGAGCATGGATGCCTATAACACTACTGGTGATGATGTGGAACATGGCAGTTACTGTGCCCCAAACAAATTTTGCAGTGGTTACGTCTGCACTGAATATTCTGTGCTCCACCATGACTGCGATTCAGAGTTACTGTGTCATGGGAATGGAGTGTGCAACAATTTAAGACACTGCCATTGTAATGATGGCTTTGCACCCCCTGACTATAGATATCCAGGATATGGGGGTAGTGTGGACAGTGGTCCTATTGTTAAGGTACCTGAAATACTTTTAAGTACCAATAGCCCTTATTTTACTATTAAGGCTCGAAATATGAATTTCAAAGTGATAATATTCATAATCCCTACATTTCTTTTCATTTTACTGTGTTCTCCACTTGCAATTGCTTACCTCTGGTCTGAAATAGAGGAGTTGGTGACATCAGAGAAGTCAGAGGAATCAGAAGATTCTTCAGAAATCCCATCAGAGGTGTCAACTGAGGGTGCCCTGCCACCCTTGTCTGCCCCGCCACCAGAGGCTGCACCACCACCCGAGGCTGCACCACCACCGGAGGCTGCCCCGCCACCCGAGGCTGCACCACCACCCAAGGCTGCACCGCCACCCGAGGCGGAACCTCCACCCCAGGAAGCCCCTCCACCCGAGGTGGCACCACCACCCACATAGGCTCTGCCACTCAAAGCCCCAGAAAAGCCTGCACCAAAAGAGGAAGCAAGTGAAGGGCACGAAAACCCAGAGTCACAATTTTAATGGAGGATGAAGCCAAATACATTAAAGCACCTTAGAGAACCAAATGTGAAGTAACAATTTACATCTGCAGTGGCTTTGACTGGACTGTATCATACTGATGTGGGGGAAGAATTTATTCTACTTTTAATATATGTTGAAATATATATAACAATATAAATTGGTTAATTTTCATATATGAAATCATAAAATATTGTATATTGTTGCTTTTTTACTTTTCATGAAACAATTTTATTAAGCTATTTTTATGAATCACTGCTATCTGTTTTGTATCAATTTTGAGTCACCTGAAACTGATCTTCAGAGTATGCCATCTTCTTGGGCCAGGGATTTAGCTCAGTGGCACTGGGCCTGCCTCACAGCACAAAGTCCTGAGTTTGATCCCCGGTACCAAAAAAAGGTATGCCATCTTCCATCTGCATTGTCTGACATAATGTATTATCTGTACCTACACTGCTATACCTGAGTTACCCCAGTTATAACTACAGTTTTGTTACCAGTGTTACCCCTGTTTTATATGCACTGTTTTGCTCTGTCAGTTTCTGTTCATGAAATAATCAGTACTTTTCAAACAATTAAAAGGCTTTCTGCAGATGAGGCAACATTCCAGACTACAAGCAGCCTAGTCCTTGAGGCTCCTTTGTTTTGAGGTTCTCTGTAAGGGGTTAGATCTGATCTATGGACATCTAACATACCCAGTCTTGAGTGCCTGGGGAAGGGCAGCTAACCTAGGCAAGGAACTCCTGGCACAATGCTGAGTTCATGTTTGAAGTATTCATTTGATTTTCTCTTGGTTTATTTCTATTGAATTTGATATTTTGTATACTTATAAATATTGATAGAAACATCTCTATATTTAACAGAACTTTGAGGTAGTGGTTACTTCTCTGTAAAGCAAGCACAGAGCAAGTATAATATTACTTTTTCTGTGCCAAGGACTACGTTAAATATTTTACATTTAAAGTCTTAATCTTCCCCAGTTCTTTGTGAAAATTCCATCATGTATATGAGAAAAGACAGGCCAAAGAGCCAGCTGGGCATGGTGGCATATACCTGTGATCTCAGCACTCAGGAGGCTGAGGTAGAAGGATCACTGCAAGTTCGAGGCCAGGCTGGGGAACATTTTTCATTGTCCAGAATGTGGCCTCTTTCTTAGTGACTATTGAAACAAAAGCCTCACAAGTAGACACTGACTTCTACCAAGAAACTCCTGCATTGTGTAGCAGTCATGGATTAAAGTATCTTTAAAGTGGGCAATTGCTGGGGATTTAGCTCAGTGGTGCCACTCCTGCCTGGCAAGTACAAAGTCCTGAGTTTGAGTCCCAGTACCGACACACACACACACACACAAAGTGGGAAATTGATTATAGAAGCAGTGAGCCCCTAGCAATTCTTGTGATCTGCCAAGCAAGAGATGTTGGGAGATTTAGGAAGTAGTTGAAGTGGTAGTAGTAGTGGTGAAAACAACCTGGAATCTAGATTTTGTGAGGAAGGCCAAGAGGACTCGCTGATAGAGCAGTTATAGTAGTGACAGAAAAGCAGCAGAGAAGGCTGGTTCTAGCACTTTGCACTGGGCAACTATAACAATGGAGTTACCATTTACTGAGATGGAGGTGAGTGTGGAAAGCACAAGTGTTAGGTGTATGTATGTGAGATGCCTGCAGGACACTCAATCGGCATGTTCTCTAGGCAGTGAGATGACTGGGTCAGGAGTTTAGGAGATGAGTGAGCCGGAGTGTGTATTTGAGAGCTTTCCACGTGTACCTGATATATCAAGCAAGGGGACTGGTCGACACTGCCTAGAGAACAAGTATTGCTAGAGAAGGGGTCTGAGGACTGGGTGAGGACTTAGCTCTCGGGATGTTCTGCGTGTACATGTTACTAAGATTCTGGAAGGAGGTCAGAGAGGGCATGTCCGGTGAGGCAAGTGTACTACCAAGGCAGAGCTCTGTCCTGAAAACAGAAAAGAAAGCCTTTCTAAAAGAATTTAACACTACAGATCCAGTTCACTGGCGAATTCTCTTGGCTCCATGTTCAACACATATCTAGAATGTGATCTCTTGCCAGCATCCTCAACTCTCCATAGCAGTGCAGGTCACTATCAACTCCCTTTCTAGACAACTGCATAAATCATTAACTGGTTTGTGCTTCCACCCTGACTCCTTTAGAAGCCTGTTCTCTACTCAGTAGGCAGAGTGATTCTTTTAAAATGTAAGTCAGATCACTGGTGAACCCGGAGTTCATCCTGACTAATATTCAGGGAAATGCAAAGTATATCACTACATATCACAACCTTGGAAAGATGTTAAAACTCACAATACCAAGCATTATTGAGAATGCATAGCGTTAGAGATTCCTATTCTGCTCTGGGACTAAATTGGCACATCATTTTGAAATACAGTTTGTTATATTCTAATCAAATTTACACTTTGCCTGTCTCATGACCTAGCATTCTACTTCCATGTATATATCCTAGAATCCATGTACATCTGCTATGGACATTATTCATAGTATTTCCTAAAATAAAAGGATATAGGTAGTAGAATCGATAGTGAATTGTGAGATATTTACACAGAAATACTGCTGCAGAACAATAGAAAGAAATGTACTATGGCTTCACACAATAATATGGAGGAAAACTAAAGTACAAATAAAAGAAGCCATATATAAAGTTGTAATTATATGTATCATAAAAGTCTAAAGACAGGTAAAATGAAATTACATGTTATAAGGTGTGTATTTAGAAGCCAAAACTAAGAAACATAAGAAAATGGTCACCACAAAAGACAAGATCATGGTTATCTCTGTACAAGGAATGATTTGTAAATATAAAGGGGCACATAGGCTACATCTGTGGAAGTTATAAGTGTTAATTACTTGATGGAAGTTATGGTTACACAGATCTTCTATTTTTCTAATTCCCTGAAATGTACATCTATTCTTCCAAATGCACTTTTCAGTGAATGTGCTGTATTTCTCAATTTAAAGAGTGTTACATGGGGGGAAAAGACAACCCCTTCAGCATCCTGCAGCTCTAGGACCAGGCACAGCCACAGCTCAAGTTCCACCTGTGTTCACATGAACTCTAGGAAAGGTCTCTTCCCCAGGCCACAGCCTTGGGACTATAGCAACCGGTACAACGTCTGGGCTTCACTTGCATCTGTCCTTTGAGACCTGGGAAAAGCCCAAGCTCTTCCCACTTCCCATAGTTTCAAGGAGCGTGGCTCCTAGCAGCCCCCATCCCTGGAAACACCTGCACTCACTCTGGGGGAAAGGTCTCCTCTTCAACCCACAGCCTTGGGACTGTGGCTGCTGCTGCCAAAAGTCCAGCATCACCTGTGCCTATCCCTTGGCACTGGGGAAGGTCCCAAGTATGTCACACAGTTCCAAAAACAGAGCTAGCAGGGACCCAAACCCTAGGACGACCTGTAGTCACTTGGCAAAACTAGGGAAGTCCTCTCCTCAGTCCACAGCCTTCAGACTGCAACTGCTCATCCAAAAGGCCCCAGCACCCCAAAAGCCTGTGCCTAGGGACCAGGGGAAGGTCTCATCTGCATCCTGTAGCTCCAGGATCATGACTACCAATGCAGTAAATCTTGGTCCCATCAGAAGTTGCCCCGCATGACCTGGCAACATTCTCATCCATGTTCTGCAACTCTAGGACTGCAGATAACAGAGCCACAAGCACTGTTACCACCTGAACTTGACCAACAGGGTATAGGGGAGATCTCCACGTGGTACATCTCCAGGACTGTGGATACCAGTGCCACAAGCCTAAATTTTGACTGCAGATCAGGGGGACCTAGGGAAGGTCTCCATGGCCTACGGACTTGTGACCATAGATGCTTGTGCCAAAAGCCCTGGTTGTTATTTGTGCTTTTCCCTTGTGAGCTAGAGAGGGTACCACATGGGTTCCATGGCTCTAGGAAAGTGGCTAACAGCACCATAGCCCCACCATCGCCCACAGTCACCCCATAGGACCTAGGGCAAGTCTGCTTTGTGTTCCACAACCTTGACTCCCTGGTTACTGGTGCCACAGACCCCAGCATCACCTGTGCTCATTCAGCAGAACCTGGAGAAGATCCCATCCCACACTGTGGCTCCATAGCTGGTGGTGTGACAGGCCCAGGCATCTCTTGCATTCATCTTTAGTGCCCCAAAGGTCTCCTTCACATTCTATGGCTTAGAGTCCATGGCTGCTGATGCCACAACCCTTTGTGTTACCTGTGTTTGGTTCAAGAGACCTGGGACAGTTCTCTCCACATTCTGCACCTCCAAGCTTGTGGCAGCTGTGACCATAAACTCTAGTGCTATCAATGGCCCACTCTGTGGAACCTAAGGACACGCAACTTTGGAAGGCTCTGTTTACTGCAAAGTTGTATAACTATATTCAGGAACTGCTGCAGTCTACACTATTGAGACATTCATTGACTCTGGTGACATCAATCAAAGCCCAAAAAATCATACAGGGGCAACACTTTTGAGCTTACCTATAACTGAAGCCAAAGTGCCTGCCTTACAGAACCTTATATCTCATCTAAGTATAAATATCTTTTTCTACAGTAGCTACTCCATACAATTGGAAGAGACAACCACTACAATACTTGTGCAGACATCAATGTAGGGACACAAGAAACATGAAAGCAAATATGACACAGACAAAGGAAAACAATAATTCTCCAGAACTAGGTCACAGTTTGAAGGAAATCTATGAAATCCCTGAAGAATTCAAAATAATCATTTTTAGGAAACTCAGATGCAGGAGTATACAAATAAACTATACAAATAAAATAAGAATAACAATTCAGGATATGTATGAGTAACTGACCAAAAAGACAGAACCCATAAGAAAGAATCAAGGTGGATGTAGTGGTATACGCCTGTAATCCTGGCTACGTGGGAGGCTGAGGTAGGAGGATTGTAAGTTTGAGGCCAGCCTGGGTAATACAGTAAGACCCTGTCTCAAAATAAAATTTAAAATGCTGAGGATATAATTCAGCAGCAGAGCACTTGCTTAGCATGTGGGAGGCCCTGAGTTCAATCCCCAGTACTGAAAAAGAATCATAAATCTTGCAGCTGTGGGTTTGATCCTCACAATGCCCCTCCCTCTCCATGAACACTTCAATAACAGACTAAAAAGAAGAATGAGCTTGAGGACAGGTCTTTTGAATTAATCTGGTCACATACACACACAAGTAGAAGAAAAAGGAGGACAGATGGAGGAAGAGGAGGAGGGGAAAGGAGAAAGGAAGGAGGAAGGGAAAGAAAAGAAAAAGAGGGAGGTAGGAGGAAGGGGAGAAGAAGGAAGATGAATGAGGAAAGCCTATGAGACTTACAGGCTACTGTTAAATACCTTAGGAGATTTGAGAAAGTGAAGAAGAGGGTAAGGTCCCTGAAAACCTGGTTCATGAAAAAATAGTCACAAGGGGCCGGGGAATTTAGCTCAGTGGTTTCGGCGCCTGCTGTGCATGCGCAAGGACCCAACTTCGATCCCTGGTACCAAAAAAAAAAAAAGAAAAAGAAAAAAATAGCCACAAATCTCCCAAATCTTCAACGACATATGAACTTCGAGACACAAAAGGCTCAGAAGACCCAACTAATCTAGCACATATAAGGCACTGGATACAATCCTTAGCATACACCCCCCTAAACAAACTCAACTAGATTAAACCACAATAAACCATTACCAAGTCATGCCATTGTTAAAATGACAAAAGTGCAGGACAGAATTCTAAAACTAGCAAAAAAAGTGGGGTGAGTGGGTGTGTCAAGTCAAATATAAAGGAATGCCCATTAGACCTACAGCAGAAACAATACAGGCCAGAAGAGAACGGAATGATATATTCAGAAAAAGAAAACTGTCACCCATGAGTACCGTACTCAGCAAAATTATTCTTCAAAAATAAAAGAGAAACAGTCTTGCACAGAGAAGCAGAAACTGAGGGAATTCATCACCACCAGGCCAGTCCTACAAGGAACAATCAAGAGAGTACCGCACTAGAGACAAAAGGATGATAACCACCATCGTGAAAGCACATAGATGTACACAAAACAAACCTAAATTGGTAAAAGGAAAGAAATAATAAGGAT